ATTACCTGTTACTTTATTGAGTTCCAGTCCAGAAGAGGAGTCCATATTATCCAGTACGGTTGTACAATTATCTGCAGTATGGAATCTAATATATCCCTACAGACACATGTACACAAATTAGTACATAAATTAGAATTCACGACTTTCATTCGCTTACAAAGCTCCGAATTGCTGCATAACTAGAAACAACGAATCAAAACCACTGACTTGCTTAATTTTGTCTGCTGGTAAGTAATGTCGCAGGATCTGTGCTCGAAATAATTGGGCTAGCTCAATAGAAAAGAACTGCAATAGGGTTGGCAAGAAGTAAATGTACCTCTGCTGTTCCTTCTGTGATGTCAATGTAAGCTAATGGTGCATGTACTGTAACTCTTGTCTGAAAAAATAACAAATTTATAGACTTAAATATCACTCGGAACATAGGAACATGAGTTGGCCATATGATGTTCACGGAAGCAAACACAATCGTAAAACAATCAGCAAATACAATCTTTTTGGCCGGCGAAAGCATAGTGCACATACTTAGCTACAACGCAACTTACTCGAATTTCGGCCTTTGGAAGGTCTGTGCCACTCAAGCATTTGAAATGCAGTAAAACGCCAGGTGTAAATGGCAACTCTCTAACAGTAGATTTATCTTTGTCTTCGCTCTTGTTCTTCGYTGCAGATTCCTTRGTTTGGCTGGGTGTCTGGTGGRTTTCGTCTTCARCCCCCTGTTTACTGGCACTGACTTGCAGCTGTTTCTTTAGCTCTTGCATGGATTCTCTCTGGAGTTTTTTGTACTCCTGCTTTAGTTGCATCCATTCAAGCCTGCAGAATAATGCCGGACATTGAGTGATTATATCTGTGTAAGTTTACTATGATTGAAATTCTTTTAAATTGCACTTGGATTTGCCAAAACATCACTTACTTTGGTATAACACGAAAATGTGGCAGCTTTGCTTCTTTCTTCTCTTTGACTTTACGCTTCCTRTTCTTCACTTTTTTCTTCTTAACAGTTTCTTCGCTTTCTTCATTTTCTGTGTTTGAATCAGACGGTGAAACTTTTGGTTTCTTGTTAGGCGTTCCACTATTTTCTATTGTTTCTGCTTCCRTTGTAACTGCTGGTTCGCRTTTACTCTCATCGTGTTGTTTCCAGTGAACCGTTTTGTCATTTCTTTTTCGTTTTCGTGCCTTTTCTCCATCTGATCCATTTGATTCTTCTTCAGTTTTTAGATTTTGATCAGGTACAATACAACGTTGCTTTTTCTTTGGTGAATTGGAGTTTCCCTCTAGRGAGTCAGCTGAAGATTCACTYGTTGTTCGCCGTCTTTTCCTRTCAGTTTTATTACTCTGTTTTGCGTTTTCCACCTCAGACTCGCTGTGTGATCTCTTGCGACGTTTCAATTTTTGATCTTCACTTTGATTGTCKTTTTCGTCGGTTTCTTTGCGGAATGCCTGTCAAAAATTAAYTAGCAACCTTTWTATAGGTCTAACAGACGATGCAATTGTAGTTGAGATGGATACTTACRTCAACAGCGGTGTTGGCTTCAGCTGAGTTCTCAAACTCTATAAAGGCAAATCCTTTTATATTGCTTGTGTATTTGAATCGAGGGATACTAAAAAAACCTCACATGTCAGCTAATATACTTTCAAGAACTGATAGARTAATAAACCTATCCTCACCTAACATAAGTAACTTTTCCAAACTGTGAAAAAATCTTTCTCAACCAGTCATGGTCAGTTTGTGGTGGAAGATTTTCCTGCAAAATACCAAAACACACACCAAGTTACTTTTAATTGTGTTTCAAGCAAGCAGTAAAAATATTACAGCACATTTAAGGGGTATACTTACAACATAAATTGTTTCTGCATCGACATTCTTTGCTTCAGGTAGTGGAGCAATTCTCTTCACCATAGTCTCTTCATTGTTCACCTGTAAAGAGATAAAGACTATTACAATCGCACAGAAACTCACAGCCACATCATCAGAGCAATAAGCACAAATGATCTTTACGTGAATAACACTAGATTACAAAATGACAAAAACAGCAAACAGATAACATAGATACAGTGCTATTTTTTTTTCATCAGACCTGAAGAAGTGATGATGATTTCATTGCTTTTATCACCAAGCCAATYTCACCAGTCAGTTGTTTCATTCTGTTAAAATCTGCAATTGTTTTGATCTTTACATCTACAAATGATAAACTTTTCATGTCATCTTGAGATAAAAAGAGCATAGTTACATGTAGTACTCCTCTCTCAAACATGTAAATAGTTCAAGCTTTAATCCAAATTCGACAATATCATTAGAAGATTCTGGGAAAACTCATAAAATAGCAGGGAAAAGTAATAGCCTTTTGGATATTCTCCTTACCTCACATACTATTATCGCTTAGCTGGTATGAAACATGGAAATCAATTGATGATTGTACAATTGTCTAATATATAGGTTAATAATTTCCACATGTGAAAACCATGTTTTAATACTTCGAAAATATATATTATATAAAACATAGAGGATATGACATGCGTGCGCGGAGATACAGATTTTATCTTCGAGTGTTGAAAAGATCTCTCTCTTTCGCGTAGCAAAATGTAAAATACCTTTTTTCTTGCTTTTACTATATAGAGAAACCTTGAATGTGTAATTTTCACCAGTGAAAATATCAATTTTATGAAATGGAGAAATATAGATAGAGAAGAAATAATCATCTTACATCCATTTTCATCTTTGACTATCTCCTGTTTCAAAAATCTGTCTTTCTGCAAATTGGAGTCACTGAAGTAAAATTCAATCTGAAAGATGAAAACAATAACTTGAAGGTGCGAGGCCTTGGTAGAAACTCCAGTGGAAGTACAACATGTAATGTCCGGTTCATACGTTGAGCCAGCGTCGCGCCGAACCAAATAGTTTGAATTTAGCACATGAACAGCTCGACGTATGAATCAATTGAGTTCGGTGCAACCATAGCATGGCATTGGCATGGCAGAGTCAGTCGTGCTAAATGGCAAAAGCTCGATGCTGATTCATACGTTGAGCTATCGTCGTGCCGAACTAAATTCACAAAAATATCTGTTTTCGACAATAATGATTGTGTAAATTGCGTGTTATCACACCTTTTCTTATGCTTTTGACTGCATTTGGTTGGACGTATGAATCAATGATGTACCAAATGGATTTGGGTTGACACAAATTGACTATTTGGTTCGACGTGACGCTGGCTCAACGTATGAACCAGGCCTAATCCAACACAATCAATATCAATCATATGTGACCAAATTAGGACATTTGACCATTGATTACTGATATCAATTGTTATRAATGTACCAATTTTAATGATTGACATTGAATACCTTTAGCTAATTAATCATTRTTAGGGGTATTGAATGGTGTGTCAAAAATCGTGAGTCTCGCTAAAAATTTCCCAAGGCTCGCAAGCTTGGCAGGGTGGTTATGTGATGTGTTGTGATTATGTGATGTGTTTGAGAGATACTACTACGCCAATAGACTTCTAAACCGTTTGTGTCAACACTTTGATTTTCAATGCATTGTGGGATCAGTTTCTGGAGAAAACAAAAGAAATCCGCCATGTTCTCAGTATTCTGTTCTAAACATATCCTACAATGCATTGCGTACACATACAGTACATGACGTAAAASCTTCAGAGGTCTATTCGAACAGAAACTTTCTGCAAGACTTTGATTCTGGTATTTTCAATGACAATAWTGTCATGTGGCATGGAGTGTCGATCCGCCGCAGCAAAATAGAAAATAAAACACGGACGATACGACATAAGAATTTCCAGCAGCTAACTCTCATGAAATGTYGAACCAATTGTGCAACTACCTGTTCTTTAAGCTGTGATACAAGCTTCTTGGTTCTCTTCTTGTGTTTCTTGACAGTTTGCGCGGGATGATCAGTAGATATGTCCTCTAGCTTCTTCTCGCGATGTCCACTGTCTTTACATTCTTGTTTCTTTGCGTTACCGCTGCTACCCATTATCTGTAGCTTCTGATCTTACCAAAATATGGTTTTGTTTAAAAAATATCACAAAATTTCACATTTCTAGATTGAAAACGTGCACAAATCGTTCAAAACTTCAACACAAACTCAGTGACCTGGCCTGGCTGCGCTACCACGCCAATGTCTCAAAACATAATTCGACTCGACATTTKGTACGAAAAGAATTGCAAATGATCATTAAAACAATTTTTTCTTATGTATAATATTCATGAATGAAATCATATAAAAATTGAGAAAGCATTTTTTATTCAATTTTTCTTTTGGATGAACCACTTCCGGTATCGAATGACTGATCACGTGACAAGAATACCCTCACACAGTGTKCCCTGGCGTAGTACGAGAAGCTCCGTTGTGTGTTGGACTTCAWCAGTAATTGCGAAGGTTCGAAGGTGTTTCTGTCAATTTTTYATAAATGGCTCACGGAGGGAGGTACGACCATTACGACTATCTGTACAAGATTGTCCTTATCGGAGACTCTGGGGTCGGAAAGTCTTCGTTGTTATCGCGGTTTACGAGAAATGAATTCGACTTGGAGTCGAAATCTACCATAGGTGTGGAATTTGCTACACGAAGTATTCAAGTTGATGGAAAAGTTATCAAAGCGCAGGTAYGTAAATAGTGTAATAGTATAACTGTAAACTCGATCCCGTATGTCACTTGTTTTTAAATGATTCACGTGCAGAGCTGAATGATTGTTCGTGGTCACAGTTTGGACTTTGAAGTTCGTGATTTGTTTTTAGCTCTGTTCCAGCTGGATTGTCCCATGAGAGATTGGTTTTTCTCTTTTAATCCTTTATCAATTGAAACGTCAATTATATAACACGATAGGAAAATAGCAGAGTGTCATCATAATAATTCGACACACTATTCTAAGCTTGTTTTGACATCCACTTTGCATTGAGTCAACACTCATGAACACAAAATACTACAGATTCCTTTGAGCTGCATTTATAAGCTTTTAAATACCAATGATTTTTACTTGTGTTTTTTTTTCAATTTTTATTCTTATTTTACGTTTTTTGGTGTAATTTCTAAATTAATATTATGGATATTACTTTGCTCTAGGCTCCCCACAGGAACTTAGATGATTAATCAAAATTAAAAAAAAAATTTATATTCATACTTATTTGAATAATAATTTCTGCTTCATTGCTCCCTTTTTAACTTCATTTTTAAATTTTACCCTTAACTATCWCGCAAAAAAATATGGTTTRTAAGTCTGCCTCTTTAGAAAATTAAGAATTGCTTTCCAACTCTATGTCTGCATGGAGTACTGTATACTAAGGTCCTACCTAATAAGTTCTTGAAAATAGAAATAGAATCTAAACTTTTAGGAACATCTTGGCTAAATCTACTTCCTTTTTGTTCAGTGAACTGTMCTCTAACTTCTTGAGCGTTAGCTATATTTAGGAGTAAGTAACATACATATTTAACTGATTGTAGTGATGCAATATGACATKACAGCATGTTTATTTGGGATAGCACAATAGGTGAGAACAACAGCCTTWGGATTAATGAATCTTATTGTTACTACATGTAGATTTTGGCTAAATTAGGGATTTTATCATTAGAAATAGTGAATTTGTGACGGATATGGTCAATGAAAAAGAAAAGTACTGTAGATTTTTTCCCTKTTTTSCACATTGTGTTCATAAGTAATTTGMRTTTTTTTTCTGGYTMTTTTAGGTGTGGGATACAGCTGGCCAGGAAAGATATCGTGCTATCACAAGTGCATACTATCGTGGTGCCGTTGGAGCTGTACTTGTTTATGATTTGACAAAGCTGAAAACATTTCAAGATGTGGAAAGGTGGCTCATGGAAGTTCGAGAGCATGCTGATCCATCAATRGTAGTCATGCTGGTCGGCAATAAATGTGATTTGAAACATTTGAGAGCAATTGTTACYGAGGATGCAAAGAAGTTTGCTGATGATAATAGTCTATCATTTATTGAGGCATCTGCCCTAGATGCAACCAATGTTGAAGAGGCATTTCAGCAAACTATTACTAAAGTCCATCATGTTCAGTTAGCAAAGATGAAAAAGGAACTTGACCAGAAAGGAACTAGTGACACTAGCAGCAATAGCAAACCCACAAATAGTAATGTTAATTTGAAGCAAGAATCTTCTGGCAGAAACTGCTGTGTAATCTTGTAATAGTCTCTGTTATAGCYCATATTAGCTTCATCTTTGGTCAAGATAAACTAAATTATGATTTAACAGGATTTGGCAAATACTAAATGTCATTAGTTTGTACTGTGGGGTATTTCAGCTTTTTGAACTCAAAGTTGTACTTATGGACATCAAAATGTTTATTTTGGGAAGATACTGTAATAGAGAGTGACYTTTCATTGAAAAATCTGTTATTAGGTTTTGAGAGGATGTTGAATGTCAGCCAGAAGATTCTAGCATTTTCACCTTTAGTAGTAGAGTGGTATTCAAGAGAGCTTCCCTGTGAACTTTCCATTAGATGCTGGAGCAATGAAATTCTGCAGAATAAAAGAACATCTGCATTTGTCATATTCTTAAAGTGAATAGAAAATCACCCGTGTATTAAAAATACCATTGTCAGATATAATACAAAACTATAAATGTCAGCTTAAAACTTGGGCATATCAATTTGTATACAATTTGCAYGCCCTATGGTTTTTAATAATGCTTTTRCCTCTTGCCGTAAAAACATTGTTTGCATATTTAAATTAGCKGTTTAATGCGTCTTGGGTTCCTTAATCTCCTTGCCAATTGAAATGTCTATGCAAGTGGATACAAGGAGCCCATGAACATAAGAATTTATATAATAGAAAGCTTGGATCAGGTAGCCCTGGTTTTGGTTTGCAGTTGTTGGCCACTTATTTGGGAAATYGGTGCAAATTATAATATTATCACTTAATTTTCAGATATTATTTTACAAAAAACTTTATTGCTGTTACAATAATTCCCCTGGCAAAACAAAATATTAGCTCTATTTTTATCTACAGTAGGATGTTTCTATTAATTAATACGTATGTTTTTATGCCAGAAATTACTGCACATTAATTATCAAAGCACTGATGAAAATGATTTATAATGAAACTAAAATGATTTATAGTAGAATAAACATTCTATGAATATGGTAATTGTAGTTTTATGATATAAAACGCTACAGAACTTAATTCTTATGAACCCATGGATAWGTTTTATTTTTTGTCCTTATTTCTTGGTCCCAGCAAAAGCATCACTGGGAATTAAGTCTGCTGAAGCTTGTTTTGAAGTCAAATTTTTGGAAAAAAGCTTGAGCATACTCTATTCCCACCAGAATCTCTATGTTCAGATCACAGACTTAAGGGAGTTCTCACTGCTGTTATCATCCTTCACTAGTATCAGAATATAGAATGTGTACAAACTACACTAAATATTTGAAATGATTCTGAATGATACTTTTTGCATGTTTTTTTTTTTGTTTGTCCAAGTTCACACTATACCATAGGTTTAATATACTTTCAATGTTTTATAATTTCACAAGTTAACTAAAATATTCAAGTGTAGACTTTGCTCTTTCCATCTCYTGCAAGAACGAATAAAACTGAGGTAGAGTCATTTCCATGAACACATCCTCATGATGGCTTCCACGGTCAATCACAAGTTTCAGCTGCAAAAATGTCTGTCCTACAACCTTTAGATCGCTGCTGCTTGATGTTACACCAAACTTCCATTCCATGTCCACTAGTTGATTGACCATGAATGTCTGACCAACAACAGACCTTGAAAGGGCGATCAGGTTTGCTTTCCACTTTGKTTCAACCAATGGTGTTTTCTCAGAAGATAAACCTTGAAAGAACAGAAAACAAGTCTTATGCAACATGTAGTTTCCAAGTATACAATGTGTGTAAACCCCTCCCATCCTATTATGGGGTTTATAGGCTGGTTTGCAAGTCTTCCACATTGCTGAATTAGTCAAGTGCTAATTGTGAGGTACTGTATACTGGGGACACTTGAAAATCTTGACGTTATCGAGTTGTGCATTTACTTAGATACAATGCTTACAAAAAGTGTGGAAGCATATTTTTAACAACTTGGTTTTGTTCATTGTTTAATGACAGAATAAACACTGGACCTGACTGTTTGGGTCTTCTATGAATGACTCCATCTTTATACATGTATACTACGTAGATTTAGAAAACAAAAAAAGTGAGCTCTATAAAGCAAGTTGTTAGTCTTCATGCATGTTATTTCTGGCAGCGCAATGACCTTAATGAATAATTAATCCATGACTAACTAAACAATAAAGTAGTTGAATAGGGCAAGCTGTGATAGTTGCCTGTGGAAACTTGATGTTCCCAAAAACAAATACTTTGTTCTCGGATGAAGTTTTGAGGAATATCCTGTTTCCAGGAGCAAATATCCCAGGATAATGTCCGAGATTAAAACTGCTCTATTATTTTTAATATTTATATTACAACATGCTGGTGGTATACAGAACCAAACTGTACCAAACTGTGTATTTTAATTGCTACTCAATCATAATAATGATGTAACTGTATTTGCAGCTTTATTTTTTAATGTGCACCAATATATATGCATACCCTGGATCCAATCACAAGCGAATTAATTTGTTGCTATTATTAGACATCTTTAGGTGAGGATGCGCCTTCACTGTAGCATAAAACATTCATGATAATAAACTACAAACTGTAGACCGCTGACAACTGAGGCTGTTGCAATTTGGTAGGTCAAAGGAATAACATTGCAAATATTATATATATAGTTGTTAGAAATTGGCGGGTTACTTCCAAGGTGTTTTTAATACAAGTTGGTTGGTAGAAGTGTGTCCCTCCTCCCTTCCCCTCCAGGAGCTGGACTCTGCTACCCCCTATGTTGACAAATATTTAGCCATGGACTTACCTATGCGTTCAAAATCTTCCTTAATTTGTACAGGTGTTAGGTTTCGCTTTAAAGCACTTTTAAAAAAGCTCAGTAGACTTTTCATAACATTCTTCAGAGCTCCAACGCTTACTCCATGGGTAGCAGCAAATTCTGACACTTGGGTCATAAATCGATTCCCATCTTTTGGGGACGTAAGAAATGAAAATACTATATCAAGCAGCTCGTTAAAAGCTGATTCCTCAAATCTGTCCAGTGACTTCAAGTCATTGATGATCTGATCATCTACAGANTGCAAGAACGAATAAAACTGAGGTAGAGTCATTTCCATGAACACATCCTCATGATGGCTTCCACGGTCAATCACAAGTTTCAGCTGCAAAAATGTCTGTCCTACAACCTTTAGATCGCTGCTGCTTGATGTTACACCAAACTTCCATTCCATGTCCACTAGTTGATTGACCATGAATGTCTGACCAACAACAGACCTTGAAAGGGCGATCAGGTTTGCTTTCCACTTTGATTCAACCAATGGTGTTTTCTCAGAAGATAAACCTTGAAAGAACAGAAAACAAGTATTATGCAACCTGTAGCTTCAAGTATGCAATGGGTGTAAAACCCCTCCCCTCCTGCAATCCACAGCTAACGTCAACAGACGGAGTATATCATTAAACAACTGAAATGCCATTTGTAACAATTTACCGGCGTTTATCTTCAAGAACCAAAGCTACTCCGATCTGGGAATGGATAATTAAATGCTTGAGAAAGTTGATGATTCCAAAAGTGAGGATTGTTGAGGGATAAGCGCCCATTAGCGTCTTTTCAAGTACAAGTTCAAGCCAAGTGTAACGACGCTGGATGTTGGGACGAGCTATCAACACGTGGACACAGCACACGATTTTTAAAGTGGCTGCGGCAATATCGAATTGAACACAATTTGGCATGAAATGTGACAAGGGACCAACGTGTTAATATTGTGGTAATCATGATGTTTTAAAAAAGGCAATAGCCTGAGAAGGGGCACCATTAACGATCAATTGCGTATCTCTAAGATAAGAAACAGCACTAAAATAGATACTTTAACCAATGACTATCTTTGTCATAATTTAAATGACTGAAAAGTCATGAGTATCTAAAATGTACCGAGAACACGTCAGGCGTGTAATTGAAAACAAGGCTGGTAAGGCCTACATTAATATTCTTTATATACAAATCTTTGCCATTTCAAACAGCTGTAGCTTTTGAACATCTAATTCTGCAGCGGTAAAAGTCATTCTCATAAACTGTTCACAATGGTTGGTTCTACCTATTCTTTAAGCCTCAGTTGTTCATAAACTTTTTTAAGTACAAAATGTAATATTAATTTCACATCATATATTTATTTCCCTTTAAGACAAGTTTGATTACCTGCATTTCTACATTTCAAATGTCAATCAATGAAAAAAAATCATGGAAATTAAAAATGTAACACAAACTAATATAATGATAACTGGTTCTGGATAACAGTATTTACAGTGATAACAGTAAGTAAGAGCTACTGTTAGTACTGTAATTAATGAACTAATACTTATACTGTTTAGCGCCCTATATCAGTGGCCTCCTCTTTGCAGTTTATATGGAAAACAAGCCTCCACCCATTGAAGAATAAATAACATTGCCATCAGCCAGTGCTTCTATGAAGTAGGGGTTATAACTTAGGCTATTTGTTCTTCCTATATAATGACCATCCAAAGTAAACTTGGATATCATCTTCTCGTTACACACTAGTAGATTACCATCGCTGTCAATGGCCAAACCTCTTAGTTCCTTTAGTTGACCAACACCACAGTCCTTGCCACCTATGGTATTAATTATGCTTGATAACTGTTTGTTCTTCATATCAATCACATGGACCATTGATGGAACACTAACACTGACATAGAACAGTCCTTTGTGTGCGATTATACCAAATGGCTTTCCATTTTGTAGGTTGAACTTATATAAAAAATCACCATCCTTAGAGAATACCTGTATACGATGATTTTCAGAGTCACATAAGAAGATGTTAAAAGCATCATCAACACACATTCCACGGGGATATTTGAGTTGTCCATTTCCCATACCTTGACAACCAAAAGTCTTCACTATCCTTCCCTTTACAGTATCAAGAATGCATATTCTGTGGTTATTAAAGTCAGAAACGACTAAATCAGTCTCTCCAATAAATTCTAAACCAAATGGATGTTTAAATTGTCCTTGGCCACTACCTTCACTACCAAATTTCAGTAGCAAATCTCCTCCGATGTTGAAGACTCTAATGCAGTGTGAAGAGCTATCTCCTACAGCAATTCTAGTGTTTGACTTGTTCACTGCAATACCACGAAAGTCCTTTGATCCTATACTCAAATCCTGTGCTATCTTTGTGACTTTAATTGGTATGTGTTGTGGTTTGACGTTCAACACATTTGGACTATTAGGTACAGGATTTCCACGTACTTCAATGTGCACAGTTACTTGACCAGGAAAATGGGCAGTTAAGTTCACTGTTGCCTCACCATCAACCATCATCTCTTTCTCTCCCAACTGAACGTCATCTTCAGGGGTCACCAATATGGTTACATTGTCAAGATATTCATTAGCCGCTTGTCCTTCTGTAGTTTTCATTACTACTGTCAGCTTGGTAAGTTTCATAGCCTCTATGTTAGACTCAACTTTTAATGAACACTGATTTGCATCCGCCTTTTTACAGAATGTTACTTTTCCTAACCCAGTCTTCACTTGACTATAAAGCCTTTCATTTGGTTTGAAATCAATTCCACCCAGATCATGTTGGAAAGGTTCATACGTGAACTTTTTAGCGCATTCTTCGTTTAGAATCTCAATCATTTCACTTGCTGTTCCATTGTGAGTGAAGTATTCGATGAACTCTTGTGCTGCTGAGGTGTGATGAAATATTCGTAAATTCCTTTCAGCCTTCGTTATGGTTTTCTGGATGTGAGTTAAAAGTTGTTGTTCCTGGTCAAGCAGTGATTTTACCAATCTTTTTGTTACTTTCTTGACATTTTCTTTCGCTTTTTCCCCATAATCTCGGATGTCAATGGCAATGTTTTCTTGTTGCTTCATCCTTTCTTCTCCGTTAGAAGTCAGCTCTTTGATTTCTTCAAGGTTTTTGGACAGCATTTCTTTTGCATTAATGAGGAATTTCGGCAGTGATGATAATTTATGCTCATCGTGATCGTGATCTTTCAAGCAAAGCACGCAGATGAGTTTATCGCAGTCTCGGCAATACCATTCAACATTTTCACTGATGTGGGTTTTGCAAGACTCTTCTCTTTTCGTCATTGTTCCAATGTCTTCCTTAGTCAGGTTGGACAACGAAAGGACTTTATGACTCTTGGCAAACTTAGCATGATAACCCAGACATTCATCACACAACGAGCAATCACAGTCTAGACATCGCCACAACGCTTCACAATGACCCACTTCAACTGAACAAACCTTCTGGTTCTCTAAAAACGACAAGACTTGGAGGATTCGTGTGTGTATCATGCTGGTTTGCAAGTCTTCCACGTCGCTCAGTTGTTCAAGCACGGTTTGTGAGATACACTGGGGACACTTGAAAATGGTGATATTTCCATCGAGTTGTGCATTTGACTTGATACAATGCTTACAAAAAGTGTGGAAGCATTTTAACAACTTTGGCTCGTTCATCGTTTCATGACAGAATAAACACTGGACCTGACTGTTTAGATCTTCCACGAATGACTCCATGTTTGTACACTACGCAGATTTAGAAAGAAAAAACTGAACTCTATAAAACAACTTGCGAGTCTTCATGCCATGGATTCCGACAGCGCAATGACCTTATGTACTGGTTATCTTGTTATTTTTATTAGTCACGTTAGTTCATTTAGTTCATATTATATTACATGTCAATCATTTGTACCTAGACTATATAATCATTTGTAACGACTTTTATTCTCATTCTTCTGAGGATGGCATAATGTAATGCTGAAACATGTTAAGATTAAAAAAGTATATCGTATTTTTTAAAGTTGTATTACCTTATGAATAATTATCGCGTGACATTATGCTGTGATGCAGTAACTAGCCTGTGTTACATCCGGAATTTCTGTCTTTCTATGTAACACAGGCTATGCAGAAACTGGATGTTCCGAAAACTCTATGAAGTTTTGAGGAACATCTAGTTACCAGAAGCAACTATCCCAGCATTATATCCGAGATTTAAATGTAAACTACTCTATTGTTTTTTTTAATATTCAACAGCAAAATTTTCTGAAGCAGATGGCTCTATGTACTATTAATACAAACTCTCATTGTTTTGAACACAGGGAGCCCAAGCAGTGGCTTTGAACCTATAATAGTTAAATTTAAAATTTTACTTTAAAAAATGGTCTACTTTTATTTTATTCAGTGTCACAATGCATTATAAATGGGTTTTAAAAATATCCCCTACCTATATATATATATATATATATAGTCACTATATACAGCTGTTTGCAATAATTCTGACCCCCCCACACTAATATTCAAATATATCAAAGTAGCCTCAGAAATTATGGGATACCATAACTGATATTTTTTTTAGAAAGTACTCATTCTGGGCAACTCAAAAAATATATCAGTCATGATATCCCATAATATTTAAGGTCAGTTTGATATATATGAAATATGGCAGAGGGGGTCAGAATTATTGCAAACAGCTGTACATTTTTTTTGGTAGATATGAAATGTTCAATTTTCTTTGAAAATCTTTGAAGTAAAGAAAAAATCAATTGACATCACCCAGATTCGAAACCGCAACCTTTCCCTTACAAATCCTATACCTAACACTGTATGCCAAGTGACTCAAAGAATCCTTAAATAGAACCCCTTGGGACTTGTGTTTTGTACCAGACAATATAGATGGTCAACTTGATTTTCTTTAATTATAATTCCTAGAAAACGTTGATTACATGGACATGTACAAGTAATATAATAGGTAACCAAGACTACAGTAAGTATTTGTATAAGGGAATGCTTCACAATGTGGTATGTATCATATCACAATATTACACTTCCCAAGAAACTTTGGAGTATTTATATGTAGGGGAAGAAAAAATATCACATAAAAAACGTGTTTTAAAATGGCAAGATTCTTGAGTGAGACTATAAGTACACTTTATTACATGGGCTTCCTGTGTAAGCTCACGTTAGTGGACTTTTCTTTGTCGTTGTCGTCGTGAATATTAGGCTTCAAATTGGTAACGCTTGCAGTGCAGTTGGCCTGCAGTCTCAGTTTCCATGGGGTTGTCAAACTAAATCAATCCGTGCTTTGTTTTCATTTTGACATGCATTGTTTTGTATGTCAGTCGGTCTTGTGACCTGATTGCGATATCTAAGCGATATCAGCTTCACTGTGGCCAGCTGGTTTGTTTATAAATCATGACAAAACCAAAGGCTGTAGTAGTACTTAGTTCAGTTTGGTAAAAAATTAAGATGTAATAAAGATGTAAATTACATATATTGACTTAATTCTGTCTTGAACTATTTCAAAACAAAAACTCTATCATGAAAGTGAAATACTTATAGCTTAATGGCAGCTGACCATTGTCACAGCTGAAGGAAGCACAAGTACGCGATCTATCTTTTATTATAATATTTATTTACAATTATTTACCCTTCTTTGTAATGCTCTGCTGTTTTTTTAAACAATGTACAGTATGCATTATAGTAGCTGCTTGAAAATCTCTTTCTTTTACTGTGATTGGCCCATGTGATGTGAAGCACAAATATGCAAACCTTAGCTTTTCAGTCAAGAACGAAAGTCACAACATAAAAGTGTGTTTTTAATGGCTACTGATTACATCATACACAGTGTGATATTTGTAATACTGCATTTGCAGCTTTATTGTTTAATGCGGACCAATATATAGGCATATACCCTGGATCCAATCACAAGCTACATTTCTATTGTTAAGGTGAGTATTGCCCCTTCAGTGTAGTATAAAACAATTATGATAATAAATTGAAAACTGTAGATCACGGGAATCACAGGCTGTTGCACTTTAGTAGGTTCAAAGGAATAATATTTTATGTTTTACTTCCAATATCAATATGTTCCCAGAACCAGTTGGTTGGCAGCCCCCCTCCCCCTCCAGGAGCTGGACTCTGTTTATACTGGTATATCTGAGCCCTACCCCCTATGCTGACAAACATTTATCCATGGACTTACCTATGCGTTCAAAATCTTCCTTAATTTGTACAGGTGTTAGGTTTCGCTTTAAAGCACTTTTAAAAAAGCTCAGTAGACTTTTCATAACATTCTTCAGAGCTCCAACGCTTACTCCATGGGRAGCAGCAAATTCTGACACTTGGGTCATAAATCGATTCCCATCTTTTGGGGACGTAAGAAATGAAAATACTATATCAAGCAGCTCGTTAAAAGCTGATTCCTCAAATCTYTCCAGTGACTTCAAGTCATTGATGATCTGATCATCTACAGATCCCTTGGTGAAATGATACGACATCTCAAAACAACTTCACTAGCTTCCTCTGAACTAAGATGTGCATTGATGACGAGAAGGACTGGTGACGACTAGTGAGCCTGCTATATTCCATGCCAGCGTAAAAATGACTTAGTGACCAGGCCGAATGTATTCTACATGAGATTTTATAAAGAGAGAAAGAGGGCGAAAATTATATTAATATAACTCGTAAAATGGTTCTTTTAGACAATGATGGTGTAAGTATTGATATCTTTAATGTGTAGATATGTATAAGTGATATTTTGATGAAATGTTTTGTTTACATGGAGTTGATATTTCTGTTGTAGTTTCTAACTCAGCTGACGTATTTGCTTCAAAAATCAAGAAGTTCAGGTTCAGTAAATATCACATTAAAGAAATGTAAGTAAATTTAGCTACACTATTKAATTTGAAAACTGTTACTGAAAGAATACGTAAGAAACGTAACATATAAAATTTCTGGTATGTCGAAGATTAAGTGCTTGATAAGTAAGCTTAATATGAATACCTTGTAGATAATGGACAAACAAAGCCAAAACCCAGAGGATCAAAGAAAACTAGCAAGCTTACMTCTGTGGAGCAAGAAGGGGAAAGTAGATGTCTTTTTAGAGCAGCTAGAGGAAATAAGAAGATCAGTACAGTGGTAAATTCTTTTTTTGGTTTTGAATTTGCTTGTGTTGTTGCAGTATAAATGATGTCGAGGTCTGCAAGCCAAGCAAGTGATCCTTGGCTTTTTCATTTCAATATTATATTATTGCAATTTTAAAATACAGTGTGATAATGTACATGTATATACCAGTGAAATATAGAACACTAAGCTGAGATGGGTTTATATTTATATGACATTCCTGCAGGGCATGTTACAAGTGCCCGTCTTTATACTACGCTGTAAAATAATAACTAACTAATAACCTTATTGTGGTAATGATGATAAGTATTTTTAAAATTATTACATTATTTTTTATTTCAGGTTTTTTCCAAAGATATAAACAGATTTCATCTAGTAAGTAATCATTATACATGTAAGTAATCATATGAAAAAAAACCAGTACACACAACACATACACAGTACTATCAAAAGGATGGAGATAACTTTTTGAGATTTTATGTTCTCAATATATTATCTAATTAGGATGAACCAAAATTACAGTCAAACTCATGAAGGCATTTCTACATACATTTACATGAACCTGACTTATTTGTTATGTTTAACCTGACTCCTCTCCAGTCATTCTCTCCTTCTTTGCGCGCAAAAGGCATCAAGGAAAGGAGGAACTGATTTAGTATTTCTTCTCTTTCTCCTTCTCATGAAGTTTTGGGAGACCCTAGCCCGGGGGGGTGGGGGGGGGGACTCCCTAATATCAAAGAGCGGGGGTCCTCGGCGTCCCTTTTAGGGGTTTGAAATCAGTATTTTGGTCCCGCTTAGGGTGATCATGACAAGAATTCCTACCAACTGAGTTTTGTGGTCCCTTTTAGGGTATACGGCGACCCTAAGCAGTCATAAAATGGCAACGTCGTCATAAACTCAATACGAGCCGACGGTGTTCGATGATTGTGTAAAAACACAAATAAAATCGGTAAACCAAAACAAAATGACCTGTTATTGATTGGTCCCTTTTAGGGTTGAAATTTCAGCACTGCCACGCCCATCATCTCATAATAGAGATCCCTTTTAGGGGTCATTTTCACAATCTCCGCTGAGGACCCCCGCCCTTTGATATTAGGTAGTCCCCCCCCCTCCCCCGGGGACCCTAGGCATGAGAAATGAATGGGGAACAGTCAGATGTTTAGTTGGTTGGAAAGGAACTCTTGATAAGATTGATAAGATTTTATTTTGCTATTTACTGTATAATGTTGCCATCTCTTTGAAAATAATATCAACTAATAATATGTTTGTTTGACAGGCATATGCAAATGTACTTAAAGCTAACATGGATAATTTAAAGAAAAGAGATAAGAAAGCAGAAAAGAGTAAAGCTAAGTCAAAAAAATCCAAGGCAACTCAATAGGAAATTTGTACAGGAAAATTAATTATATCATACAAWGTAAAATGAGCAGATGCTATTTTGGGTGAAATAAAACATTATGCAGGGGCATGCGTAGGGGATTCCAGTTGTTCTGGTATTCCCCCTTCCTTTGTAGACAAAGTCTAGAAATATAAGACTTAATATGTCAAATATATAGGTTACAATATTTTCAGATAGTACAATAGTCTGTGAATCTAAAGCAATTTTGKAGTCAATCACCACAGTTTTGAAGCTGCAAGAAACACCCTATGCATGCCCCTGTTTCCAGTACCTGACTTACATATGTGTATTGTGGAAGGCAAGATAAAAGTATGCAGTCATATCAGCAATCRTACTTTAATTTTTGCTATAGGACAGATTTCATAGGAGTGTAGAGGTTACAGTAATATACCACGAAGCATTGATGTAGCTATTCCAATGTCTATCTCTTATTAGCAAAGGTATTAATATGAAGTTTTGAATGGTATACATGTAGTAAGATAATGTAATATTTTCAATGTTGTCTTTGAACACTGACACAAAGTGTGTTTTTGTTTTTGAATTATCATTGCAGTATTTTCATTCTAAATTCACTTTCTCACAAARTAATTGTGCAATAATAAACAAGTGTTGTTGCTAAGAATTCTSATAGATTAATGAATATCAATGCTGTGCGTCACATAAYCCTTTGTTACTCATGTGACAGCTTTAAAGAGATTCTTTTCGAACAAAATAATGTGTGTTAAGTTATAAGATTACATGTGTTTGTTCATAAACACAAATTATCGCAGTACCTTCAAAATATACTTGTACATGGACCTAACACTGTTTTCTGATACCTGTGATATTTTAAGTAAGAATACATAGTTCAAATAAGAAATCTGGGAATCTTGTTGTAGTTATTATTCTGTTATGTTTCTCTTCATTCACATATTGCCAAAATACAGAACGATCACTTTGTAGAGTTGATACATATCCACTTGAGTTGTTTTATGTCTGTAAACTGCATTCAAAAATTGTATTATCTGTAAAATTCCAGTGAACAATACCTATAGTAAGTCAACAATAACAGAAAATAATAAAACAACAGCAACAAAATAAATGTCATTGTTTTTTATTGACCATAAAACTCTCATACAGCCTTTTGCAAAAATTATGAGAATTGTCTAAAATATCTAAATATCATAATATCCATATCCATATATTATATATATTGTCCAGAACACGCGGGTTTGCTAGAATAATTCATTGTTGACATTGAGAAAATGTTCAGAACTACGGATAAGTCTGTCGCCAAAAAAAACTAAACTACAAAGACAAGGGACTAAGGGCATCGCACGGGATCATGCACTTGATATTATGATATTTAGATATTTCAACAATTCTCATAATTTTTGCAAAAGGCTGTAAAGGCACAAATATACCTAAATATATAAACTATTGACAACAACTTACACTATAAATTCATCATCTRAATAAACTGCTGTTTTTGRAACTCATAAATTAACAGACAAATGTCTTCATAAATGGGATGTTATAAGTATGTAACGCTTGTGGATATAATGGTTGATAATATWTACATTATAAGGATTGACTTTGAGAACAAAGCAACGGATAGAAATAATATCTAATAGCAAATTTAACTATATTTTGTACGAGATGCTATACGTTAAAAAAGAATTTAGATCCTCTTAGTGTACTGATTATTGATTTTGACAATAAGAACTGTCTTTTATATAAAACTAACTAGGCAATATGAAATTCTAAAAGCATTTAACTTGCAATACATATACATTATACTACAATTATTATAAATATATCCATTTGCTAAACTTTTAAAAAATGTACWTCTATTTTCTTTTCTTAGACATAAATATTATATAAATGTTTCCAGATCGTAATGTTATCCATTATGATAAGTGAGACGTCCCTGTCTTTCTCTTCCATGGCCTCCAGGCATTGGTTGACATCTTCTTCCATGCTTCCCATCAACAAAAGTTATCTGGTTGACATACCTTTTTATGAAAGCATAAATATGTTAAGCATAAGAAAATGANGGCTGTACTGTATAGTATAGTGATAATGACATTCAATTTTAGCCAAACCACCATTCCTCATAGAATCTTATTTAAGGCCTAGCTCAATGAAGTATTGACAATACAGTACAACATCTAATTCAGTATTATTATATTTTTACAGTACTGACAACATACTTGTCAAGGTAGTGTATTGTTAGATGTTCAGGATATTTCTTGGCAAGCTTGAGCCATTCGGTACTCAATGAATGCTTCCATGAATACACTTCAACACTCCATCCTTTCTCCAAAGCCATTGTTGCACAACCAGGAAAGCTTGTGGAGTTTTCTGACTTTCCCTTCATGCCATCACCACTGGCTAGCACCAAGACTCGCGGAGAGAGTTCACATATTGCCTGAAAATAAATGTAAATCTATGAATAATAGCTTAGATAAATCAACTCCAACCTTGACTAATATTAACTAGATTGCACGTCAAAGTAATTTGGGGCACAAAACAAAATATCTTGTGCTGTCTTAGGAACAGCAAAAAAGAAAAGCTAAGAAAGAAAAGCTTAGAAATCTAAATAAAATGATGCAAAAATATCAGCAAATTTATGCATTCTGTGAATGCCTTCAAAGAACTATCATTGTAAACAATTAACATATCCTATTAATAATTCATTCTTCAAATGATTGTTTACTAACCTTGTAAATGAAAAGGTGCAAACCTTCATCAACCCTTTGCTCATCTTTTCCTCGCCTTTCCTCCAGATCAACGACATAACCAAGATGCCTGCAAGGGCAAAAAATTAGACGATTTTTAGATAATGTATAAATGTAGTTTATCTCATGCCAACATTATATATTTTAAATTAACAGGTGTTTGGACAACTAATGTAATAAAATTGCTGTAAAGAAAAAGATATACCATGAAAAAAGTTTTTGGAAGTTTGTTATTTTTTTTTCAAAAGCCTGATTCTAAGTGTTAGTCTAACCTGTAGATGTCCCATACATGTTCTGTTGTAGGTGGACTTGATCCACAAACAAATGTCCTCTCTTTTGGCCTGTTTTTCTCCAATATCTTGACTAAATTCTGTAGTTTTACACGGACGTGACGCTTTTTTTCACAAGCATTGTTTGCACTGACGCACTCTTGAGCTCCAATATATATGTTGCTGTTGTCAACAACAATGACCACACCCTGATCATCTGATTCYTCACATGACAGATTCATATCATGATTCATATCATCATCTGTGGACTGGTCCACCAAAGGAATGCTACTGTCTTCAGCATTTTCTATTGATGYCTGTACTTGATGGTAGATTTCTGCTGCTTCCTGGCCACTATTATGGTATGACACTGGCTCTTCTTTATCATGCCAGTTATAGCATTGCTGGATTGCTACTTCAAGGTCTGGAGGATTGCTTTGTGGTTTTTCTTCTTTWTGMTCAKTACTAGATGGGCACCAAGGAAAAGGCTGGACATTGTAGCTCGGTATTTTTGGTTGAGCATCTTCCATGTTGTTAACTGGGAGACAAGAATCTACTGTTTGCACTGATATTTCTTGCTTTGCAACATTGCTTTCAATCCCAGAATCTACTTCACACGTAACAAAAGACTCAACTTGGTGAGATGATTTCTCATATTTTGGCTCCTCTTTTGTGATCTCTAGGCTTGCTGTAGGTTTTCCCGCCATGTTGTTCATGAGGAAAGCATTCAGTTTGGCCATTTTCCCAGCTTTGAGACACTTTTTGTTTGGTGATTGAACATGTGTTGGTAGTTCAAATGCTGACTCGCTCACCCACAGGTCATTGGACTGTAAATACCTTCACAAGAAAATGATAAAATGACTTAAAGAACCCATTGAGATTTAATGCAGTATCACTTATCTAAATTCCCTGGTGTAAATCCTGGCTAGGATCCAGTAGTATCCTAATAGTAWKCTGTAGGATCCTAAKRAGGATCTTGTCAGGATCTTGATAAGATCCTATTTAAAGGGACACTGTCAATGGCACYCATGCGCGAGTAAACTTYAAAAGATTAGGCTAATGTTTTCAAGTTTACGYCTCCAAGTTGGCGRGACGCATGACCAAAATAGTACTRGTAAACGTAAACAGATCTAGAATAATTCAAAYWGTGTCAAAACATTGATTTACCTCMAAGGTAATACTTTCAAAGTCCGTTAGAGGCAAGACTGTTACTGCGCATGTCATCCATTGACAGTGTCCCTTTAAGATACTACAAGATCCTATTCCAATGCAGGATCCTATATATTTAGGATCTCATTCCTACAGGATCCTGCCTAYGATTTACACCAGGGTTTTACTGCCTAGCCTTCATTAATTTATCAATAATTTTACTTGCACAGCAATCAATTACCTTTATTACTGTAAACTAATGAATTGCATTATGGATTGCCTATGTACACAACCTATATTCAAACGCCCTTAGACCTATTGCTATACACATTTAGATGCTGTAATACATCTAGGTAACTCACCTCCATATCAAGGCCATTGCCAAAACGACCACACCCACCAARACACCGATGATAAACATGTATGTTGGTAGTACAACCTTTTTGAAGACTGTAGCTGTTGARTCTATTGCTGTATCATTTTCACCTGGAGAAAAAAAACACATTTTGATCAGAACAACAAAGACCATAAAGCATTTTTTACTTCACATCAAAATATATTATTTTGTCTATTTGGTGGATTTCTGCTTTTGAAACTAAACTGTTRAAATTTTCAGTAGATTCACTTACCGCTCGATAGTGTCTTAACRAAAATTGGTCTTGAAAATGGTGAACAAGAAAAACCTGGCTGGAAACCACATGCTCTAAGTTTAACCTCATACCACGACCAGGGCTTTAGTCGCTTTGCCACATACATGACGTCAATACCCGAATATTCCAATTCATTATCAATYAATAACTCATAATGGTCAACCTCTATGTTGTTTGGCTTGACTCGACACCAACTCATTTTGATTTCTGTTGGACTTGTCGCTGTTACATTTGGAACAACAGGTCTTTCGGGTGCTCTTACTCCTTGGGGAACAAGAATCACAGACATTAGAACACTGAGAACCAAAATCAAGCTTTGGGTCAATTGTTGGGTGCCTTTGTTTTCCATTAGAGCAATAATGACCATGAACATAAAGGTGTAGTTTCTCAAAGGGAACCTTTTATATCTTAATGAATAAGATTTTCTGTATTTTAAAGTTTCAGGTCAACAATCATGGCAGCAAAAGCTGGAACATGCACGACACTTTGAATTGAAATCTTGGCTTGTATTTGGTTATGCTTAATCCCTTAGATGAACAATTGAAACATGTGATTGCKAGCATTGTGATTGGGTAGATAACGCCATGACTCATGAACAATGGACTATGAACAATAATTATTGTACTCATTATGTTATGCAACACATTTCCAAAAATAACCAATTCAACCTGTTGTCAAAGTGCTGATGTAATAGTTGCTATCTCATCCCCCCCTTGGGAGGTAATGAAACTGGATAAGGAGTGAATATCAGGCATGGAACCTAATTGGATGAATTCCTAGAAATACGTATCAATGAACCAGTTATAAACTTACTTACTTTTACTTACTTTTTTTTTAAAGACAAGAAGGGATTTTTAAAATTTGATGATGACTTAACCCACAAAACCAGACTAAATAGGTGGTTTACAAAAGAAAATAATTAGCATTATTCCTATTCTTAATAATTATTTTCTTTGAAAGCCGAATATGAAAAGAGATACTTTTTAAAAACAAACTAAAGTTGGTAAAATGATTACTTAATCGTGTACTAGAATGCTGGCATTTTCCCAGAGGGCAGGACCCAAAAATMAGTGCACGTTCCGAGTCAGGATTTTTCAAGGTATAAAAATGCGAATATATTAATAAAAACGTACATTCATGGAATGATTGATAAAAAAATGATGCAATACTTGTAAAATGTTTTCATAGTTTGTAAGTTTGAACTTTGAACAAAGTCGATAACTTAGTCAAAATAGATACGCTGACATCATGCTGGTGTCATGAGGTTACTTGTCTGGTCCAATAAATACAAACGTGATTTAGAAATGACATGAGTAATATGAATTCATCCGACGTTTTTTACSCATRGTRATCGAAAATCTTCTTTAATTACTGATATCATCAATATTGATACTAAAGTAGTCTTCAATGAGTAACTTGTAAACATATCAACTGTAAAAGGTCTAAAAGTGTAAAACGGACTTGAGGCCTTGAGGAAGTGTTTCAGTTTTAAGCAGGGAGGAAAACATTTTTKAATCATCAATTGAATATTTCTTACTTGCTTCAGTTGCTGGTGCAAAAGCAAAAAGCGCCGTCAAAATCCCAACCACCACCATAAGAGACATGGTGGYTTGTGTTTCGTCCTGTCGTCCAACAGCTCTCGGGTCTACCAAATGATGGCTGTTATCGTAGCAATGCCCTCAAAAACACATTCCAGTGTTGCAATTTCACTGTCATGTACTCTGCTTCGAATCTTTTGCGTTCTTGTGGAGTTTCGAGGCTCATTGACTCAAGTTGAGTTAGAATTTGATGTTCMTTTCCTGTCCAGTTGGCACGCATCCACTTTTCCTTATTTGAAGACGTTGTTGATCATCAACTTTTGTAGTGATATTCGACACATGGGATCTCCTGATGGCTCTCGACCAATCACGTTAAACCAACAATAGGCGGTGCAGTATTGACGGATTATAAGGATCGGTTTCAGTTCTGCAAGGATTATCTATATAGGCATATAGTTCTTGTATAAATGCAAAAATAAAATGAAAATGAAAGCCATGGTATGTATGTATTAAAATACAGCTGAGAACTCAAGCTAGCGCTAAGATTTTTACACGAATATTTTTTTATTTGCCTTTCTCGCTAGAATATGCTAAAGATTAGTTGAGAATGCCATCCATACAAGTTGTGACAAGGCGTCACTAAAATTAAATGACTTGTTTTTTTCCCCAATACTCAAACCTCTAAGCATACATTCATGATAAATTTACCTAACGTGACCTCAATAAGGTTGCCTCGAATTCTTTTATTAAAAAAAATGAAAAAGAGGGGCTAGAAGAATTAATAATGCAATTAATAATTTTCTCGAAATGTAGTCATCAGTGTTGTGGGTCATGCTAAACGCACGCTCAAACCGAATATCAAAATATGTCGTATATTGCTCCTGGTAATCAAGCATTGGATTATTTATTTCTTTGTATACAGAGCCTGAAATAATCTAATCATGTATCTCTGTTCTGTTAGGGATAATAACGGTAAAAACCCATCGACAAAACCCACAATGCATGTCTAAATTGGCCTGTTGTTTAATACTCCATTTATTTTTTAGGATGACAGGGGAAGATTCCGTAAGACGTAGTCTCTGTTTGATTTATAGATATAATAGATATACGGCATTAATCACATTGATACAACTATATTTGTAAAGATGAAAACTATCAATTTACTTTATATAACTGATTCTAAAAGATATCTTTAAACTACTCTGAAGCATGATGGTCCTCCATCAACTTCAAAAAGTCAGTCCAGTGCAATGAGCCTGTAATCTTTCATTCCATTAAAAAAAATATATTCGCCAAGTGCATGATTACAAATTCTAAGACAGTAGTTTTCATCCTGATCCGAAACATAATTTCATCCCTGTGTGCTCAAGACTGAATATCTAGCACCAAATCGTAACAGACAGTGAGGAGTGGGGGAACTCTCTTATGAAAGTGGGTGGGGGTCCTCGTCGTCGGGTTTGAAATCAGCGTTTTGGTCCCTCTTAGCGTGAGAATGACGAGAACCCCCCTTCCCCCAACTGAGTTTTGTGCAAGTCCCTTGTAGGGTGTAAGATATTAAGGTGGAAGTATAGTATCATTACTTCGTATGACAAGATGGAGTTTGTATTAAGGTGGAAGTATAGTATCATTACTTCGTATGACAAGATGGAGTTTGATGCGAGTGTCGATCAAAGTACAAATGAAATCGAGGAACTGAATCAAAATAACATGTTATTGATCGGTCTCTCTTGGTGGCGAATTGTCATCACTGCCACGCCCATCATCGCATGATGCCGTCCCTTTCATGGGCTATTTTCAGAGATTCCGACGAAATCCCCCGCCTCCTTTTCAGAAGGGAGTCCTCCCTCCGAGGTTTCCTCCTCTCACTAACTCGGATCGTAAACGTTTCTTTTATCTCTTCTATTGAGGTTTCGTCTTCAACAGAAGACGATAACAWTCCATTGTCTTGCTTTTCCTTTGATTTTTTTTTCTTTTGTTTTGAGCAAGACTTTTGTATAATATCTTACGATTCGGTACTTGTCTGCTCAAAACACAGCGCTAATTTGATCCTAGTGCTGAGTGAGTCAGCATTAGTGGGGTTCCACCCTACATGCTGAGGGCGTGGCATGACACTGATGGCAATCGATATTAATTCGTGTAATTTAAACACTTTTGGTGCTTTTAAATTTCATGGTAGAATATTATTGATAAAAATTGATTCTAATACAGAACTAAAGGAAAAGAAGAAGAAAAAAGYAAGAAAATMCGAATAAYCTAGAACACTGAAAACTTTGCTGGGACTCGAACCCCTGACACATAAATCGAAAAATATTGGGACGATTCCCCCGAGACATTCTGTGAAGCTGAGGCGTCGAATCGATTTACATTTCGGTTAGAGATTTCGGCTCTTCCATGCTATCCCGATAATTMGTCCTAACTTCGCGCTAACTAAAAAGCCAGTGAGGGAGAAGCTATCCGGCCCCTAGACCATAGATGGATAACCCCTTGCACTAACTAGGCAACTATCGAAAGTATAATGTCAAATTGGGGTYGTCTATTCGGTGAAAGTGCCAAGCGGTCTATTATTATGCAAATGAGCCTGGTCCAGTGGTGCAACTCGTTAAGGCGCTGTACGTTAATGCAATCCATATTATCTGGGATCGATACAAAGTCATTGAAATTTAATTGTTTTTTGTTTGTTTGTTTGTTTTTTTTTTTTGCTTTTTTTAGCCAAACACTCTAATACTATTTAGCTCTCGTTATTTTGTTATTTATTTCATATTTTAACAAATCTCTTTCTTTCTTTCTTTCTTTCTTTCTTTCTTTCTTTCTTTCTTCAAGTTATACATATTCTCTGTAGGTTTTCTGTCTTTTTAAGAGTAACCACAAACTTTCATATATTATAATTTATTAATTTGGAATAGTGGAAACCGATTCCTTGAAAGAGTTTGAGTTACTACTACTTGCTTCAACAGGGTATTAGTTTTGTATTCCCATGCATCCCATTAGACTTTCGCAAAGTTCCTTTTCCACTCGTTCCGTTGCGGCTCGCCTCTCGCGCTCCGCGCACGATCGCGCTCATTATTCACCCATTCCTGGGAGTAAAAGAGAGTCCGACTTGGGCAAGTCTACCATCCCATATGTTRCGATAGCTACAACATGTGAGCATCTTCCTGGGAGCAACTAGGGGGGAAGGGGCGGTTATATGGGCTGGCAACCCTATTGCGCGAGAACGACTAACGTGAAATTAGTCGACGTTTYGACGATTTGCAAGTGAAGCAACTTCTGGATTAATATATTACCAGTCCATGCACCATCTTAATGACACATCCGCTTTTTCCACGCGTACGCGACGTGAATGCGACAATGTTTCATTTGGGCTACCTGTGTATTGTTATAGACTCAAGACTTTAAGAACAATTATTTGAAAAACAATAATTTCTGCGCATTGCTTGTCATTGACCAACACTGAATCTTGTCAACCTGGAAACATTTTGTATAACTAGCCAGTGGGAGTAAGTAATGAAATGCAGCCCCAACTGGAGGCAAAACAATGGATTATTGTTCCCAAAAGGGCAAAAGTCTTTTGTTTTGTCCTCCAGCTACACATCCAAGGGGTCTACTGTCAATTGAACCTACAGTGTATTTACTTTTTAATTGGCAGTATAAGATCATTATTTTGTATAAGGAGTACAAATGAAATTGAGAAACTGAACCAATATAACAGGGCGTGAAATGTCATAGCGACAGTCATAGATTTTTGGGATTCACTGGCAGTTATTTTGTTCTCTGCAAGTTGAAATGGTGCAATGGGTTATTAACCTTGTAAGATCTGAAAGATTTCTCACACACTTTTACTGCAAAACAGCTGTTCCCATGTCATATCAGTGATGTTTCAGCTGCATATTTGACAGGAGTATACACTACTTCATGATGTCATATAAAAATAGAACATTAGTTATATGAAATTTGAGTGATTTAGTAGTAAGGATTAATTGAAGATCAAAGGAGGCCACACAAGTTGATCTTTCTATTTGGCTCATTGACTTCATTGATTACCACACCACTAATGTTCTTTCTCAATATGACAACCTTCATGGAATAAGTTGTATAAAAGACATCATATTCTAATCATTTCTCATTCTGTCACAATTTTACTTCCACCTTTCTTTAATAAATGATAGCATGCAATTTGTGCAAATCATACAATGTTGTTGAAATACAGTTATGAACTATGATCACCACTGAGCTTTCTGGACACCAGCAATAAGTCCCTTCTCTGCAAAATATCTAAACATCATTCTTGATACTCTAAACCTGCCAACAATGCCACGTCCCCTGTCTGTTAGCACACACCTATTACGAACACGAGTAAGACTGCTGTTCAGAGGAAGATTACGTAAATCCTCAGCTGCCTTGTGCCGTACYCCTGAGGGAAGAATGTCACTCTTTTTTATCATCCGTAGGCTTGCTCTTTGAACTTCATGRTCTTGGACCATTTTTCTTCTTTTCATGTCTCTTCTTCCACACTTTTTAAGATAATTAGGTTTAACATAATACTTGTTTAAGGAGGATGAAGTAGATAATGATCTTGATGGTAAGAAATCTGAAAGTTAAACATTGCCGTAGTAATCAATAACAATTATAATTATAATAATTCTTGCTCCGAGGGTTTTTTTCCAGYRCGGCTGGTTTTCTTCCCTCCGTCAAAAACTAGGTGTGAGGAGTGTTGTGTAGTAGAATAATGAATGTTGAGGTAGTGAGTATGAGTGAATATATAGAGGGCCACAAGTTRACTAGTCTAGAGACTATTACGTGCTACCCTTTCAAAATAAAAGAGTTTATGTTTATGTTTCAATAACAATGCTGATAGAATATAGAAATGCCAAACAAMATGGAAAAACGAGTGTTTCTTATAATGTTTCATTAAATAGGAACGTCAGTCTCAGCAGTTGTCAATGATGAACATGGGTTGCCTGTGGAGCAGCCTTGCAAGATGTAAAAACAACCCTTAAATATCCTCTTTTCTTGTATTTTAGCACTAGCCTTGTTCTAATTCTATGAAGTGTTTTATTTCTACAGCCAGTCTTTTGTTAGAAATATACGAATAAGCCTAAATCTTACAGATTTCATGTGTATTAAGCTTAGAATTGCTTACCTTGAAATGCTGACTTTGCTGGTTCTTGGCTCTTTCTGTTGCGAAAAAAACTGGAATYRATACMATTTAAACTCAATTTACTTTTTTTGACATGATTGAATGCACTGAAGTAATTATTTTTCGAACAAATAGCAATCATTTTAGTAGAACTRGTAAAAGTCCTCCACAATCTAGTGGCCATTTTGGATTCTCGCTCGAAAACGAGGCTGATTGCGGGCGCTCTTCAGCAGTTTCTCGAATAAGAAGCAAAGGAAGTGAAGTGAGGAMAGAGAGAGACAAGGAAAAATTTTGATGTTTTTGGCTCCTTGAAAATATTTGAAATATCTTAGAATTCCCATGGTTTCAAGACGCTCTTACTGATACTGGCTTACTTTGAACTTGGCTMCAGAAAGGACCACGTRTTTTGGAAATGTGATCAACGAAAATGAAGCAAGGAAGTCAAAAGATTTTTAAAACTCACCTCGTTCAAGATTTGATCAACGCTCCATTTTACTAATGAACAATTTTTTGATGACAATATTGGAACTTTTTACTGCTGTTAGTTGTGTAAAAATGAAATAGTATCATGTTTTCAATATTTAGTGTAGCGATCTCCAGGACCAACTGATCGCGTTTGGTGTTTCTATAAACAATCGAAGAAGAATATGGGAAGTTCGTCGTCGAAGTTTCGCAAAGCGCTCCAAAAAGGCGAAGAAGTTGAAGCAATGGAGCTTTATCTTAAAAACCCAGAGATTAAACGAAATCTTGATCCAAACTACAATTATGGTGAAAACTATAACAACAACACTCTGCTCCATTATGCATGTCTGTATGCTATGAAGCCTTTCATTCGCGACTTCACGTCGGAGGGAGCTAATGACAGCCTTAAAAATGCCTTTAATCAAACGCCGATTCATTTTATCTGTATGTTYGATCGAGGATTAGATCCTGTTAAGGATAAACAAAGGGCTGAGTGTTTGTCTTTGATGTTGTATCGATGTCGAAACGGCGACGAAAACACAGCAGATTTGGGGGCTAAAGACCACGTAAGTATAATACCAGTTCTCTTATTCGGTATGAAGCTTAAATACCGCGTTTGTTGTTGCCTGTTAATTTTATTTTTATATCCATTTACTTTTTTCCCGTTTTAATTTATTTGTGCATCCATCAAAGCCATCTTTATCCCTTTATGCATCTGTTTCGATACCAATGTGTAAATTTCGTTTTGCATATTTAAATCGTTAAATTATACCTGACGGCTGTATATTTCCCCAAAGATTAAAAATTAAAAACGATTTATTTTATATTATTGTATTTAGAGCTTAGGATTTTCAATGATATGACAAAGAAAAGAAAAATTGTGACATTCTATTGTTTCAGTTGTTTTGAAGTCATTTCCTTAATTGAAGAATGCAAAACAAACTTTTTACACTATATAAGTCTTAATGTTTGCACATATCTGAATAATATCAATCATGTACCATTACATGGGATGTTCATCATAATCTGTTGCTTTGAACCATAAAATGTTCTTAAATTAAAGATATTCTASTTCTTTTCAAAAATAGGTCATGTCAAGTGTCAGTTTCTCTGTTCACAATAAGAAATCATATTGTGATATTGTGACTTGTTTTGGCAATAAAACTAATTGAGGCGGTAACTAAGGAAGTTGAAATATGGTGATAGATATTTAATTTCAAATAAAAACCTTTTTTGTTATTTTCAGCACATTTTATATCTTAGTGATTTATCTTGTTTCTAACACAGTAATCTTTTCCTGGCTATTTTCATCAAYGTCTAATGATCTAATGTACACTAAGATTATGAAGTATGATTGTCTGGACTTTCGATTTCAATAGCCTAGGGAGTTTTCACTTTGAAACTTCCAAGCTGCATACAAAATTCAAGTTGTACACATTTTTCCTGCTCACTAACTACAAGCAGTATATTCATTCAAGCAAAACAGATTGTCATTTGAGCAAAACATACAATAAAATGAATAGATTGAGTCTCAGCAGGTTGATGGGATATTCATTAATGTTTTTGTCCAAACAAAAAATGAAAGCAGGTATTCAATACACAACTTTGATYCAAGCACATTAAATGTTGTATGCTATTGCACAAATAAATGTCCAAAACATGGAAATGAATGAGTGCCTCTGTTTATTGTATGTACAAAAACGCAAATGAATGTTCCATAACTATTGAGACTATGGTTGCATTTTTGTATGCCTGTTCGCTAGAATGACAATGTTTCTTTGTATACATGAACATTTTCTTGACACTGCTAATAAACAGCAAAAGGTTTAATGGGTGGCAATTTGCTGTCAGCGCACAAATTAGCATTATTTAACTGTTWTAATGTTCAGCTGTAACACAAAATTGATTGAAAAGTCCACCTGTTGTAAGAAAGTAAAAATTCTGTCATTGAATTCTTGCAATGTACATCTTCTTGTACATCTCTTTTGAGTTTGCAAGCCACCTTATCAATATTTTATGATAGTCCAAGAGGTTTATAATCTTGTCTGCAAAAAAATTCATTGGGGGAAGAATAGAAATCTCTTGGACAGTCTTAACATTACTCATTTTGCTCACTAAAATATTCATGAATAAAAATGATTCAATGGGTATTAAAAAGCTTGAGTGAATTAGGGTTGACTCTTGTGGTGAAATTTTGACTCCTGGATATGCAGAGACCATTGTTTAAAATTTAAGCACACAGCTGTCAAGTTTAGAGAAATCGAGTTAGCTGAGCCTAACACTTTATTTTTGAGGTCTCGTAAACTGTGGTATTTCATTGTAATTTTGAAGTGAAATGTCATCCTATTAYTTACATTTTGAAGAGTTGGGAATATATTATGCCTATTCAGCGTTAGAAGAAACAGAAGGTTAATCACTCATTGATGTGACAGTGTAATGGTGGAGGAGAAGTCAAAGTTGTGACTCAGAAACCCAGAGAAAAAAAACTTTGAGATAATAAACCAATGATATTAGTTCATCATTAACCAAAAACAAGAATTAGATGCTTTCTGTAAAAGCTTTCAAATTTTTGAACCCAAGCGAAAATTTTCTGAGACAAATACTTTCTAAGGGTACCATTTGCTCCCTGTTGAATGTTTCAAAGATTGACATTATTTTCAATACATTTCAGTTATAATGGAATGGCAAATATGAATATTAATTGATGTAGAATAATGTTTATCATTTTCTTATAGAAAGGAAACACAGCACTTCACTATGCTTCAAGATCTGGATTATTTCACTGTGTACAGGTTAGATGATAATTAATACATACTTGTGCTGTATATGTATATAAAAAGAGTTGTGTAAAAAGATAAATGTAACACCGTAAAGAAGTAAGTGAAAAAACTTACTGACGTTTTGGACGTTGATCCTTCGTTAATCCTTTACTCCAATGAAGGATTAACATCCGAACACCAGTAAGTTATTTTATCTACTTTTTTTATGGTGTTAAATTTATATTTTTACACAACTGTTTCTTTAGAAACACCGATGCAGCTCACACTAGTTTACCGCTAGTTTCTACCATTCTGTATACATGTATATATACTAGAGTCATTATACTGTCTGACCTGTGGAGCAGTTAGCTATTATTTAGTAMCAGGCTGTATTTTGATTATTTTCATTTGTTTCAACAGGAGTGTTGCTCACTAGCAAAAAGTTAGCATTTTATGGGTTATTAAATATAATGAGTCTAACCTCTTTACACTACCTATTAAAGCATTGCCCTCACAAACACTATTCTCACATTCTACTTTCTGTATCTCAGACTTATTYTGTATCACATTTTGACTTATATTTTCATTCACAAATGCTTTACAGCTGCTTGTGGCAAATGATATTCCGCTTTATGAAGAGAACAAAGATGGCCAGACAGCTTGTGATTGTGCTATTCAGGGAAACTTTTCAGACATTGCATCATTCTTAGAATCCAAGATGGTATTTTCTGTAAGTACAT